ATTTTCTTTGTTCCAACATGAACGAGAGAAAACCCCCAAGTCGTCCGGGCCACCCACGGGTTCAGTGCGTCTTCAAATTCACACTGCCGCCTGATCGTTCGAACTTTCGTCTGCTCTTTCAAAGTTGTCTGCTTTTTGTCGTGTGCTCGTTCAAACAAAAGCGGCCCGTTGGCCAAACTTTGACCCGGTGATTGCGATAAGAAGTAATTGCAGGCCTCAAAAGGCTTAAGTAGGCTCGGTGTAAACAGTAGATACAAGATGTTAATTATTGGTACCGGTGGCCATCACCTACTTGTTACGCTTGGTCTGTTCCCGCTTCCGATTTTCAGTATCGACGTCGGTCATCGCCGCTACCTTTTACACTTTTGCAGCACGAGCGACGTCGCGACCGAAAATAGCTGCAAGAATCTCAGCATGGTTTTGGCGTCCATTCTGCAGCCTTCATGCGAATGAATCGCCGCACGTCAAATTATTTACGGAAAGTTTAGCGGCGTAACGAGCCTTGATAATTTCGCTCAGGCGATTCAAGTGGTAAGACATTGCGATGAGGACGTAGAATCGACAACTCTAACGCGAAAAAGAGTATGCAGATTCACACAGACGCCGACAACGTGACATTCGAATGGTTTGTTGACGCGGGACGCGGTGCTTCTTGCCCGTACTCCATTGCGCGTGCGTTCGAACTGTCGTCTGCTCTTTCAAACTTGGCTGCTGTTTGTCGTCAGCTCGTTCAAACGACAGCGGCCTGTAAACCAAACGTTGACCCGGTAATTGCGATAAGAACTAAGTGCAGGCCTCAAACACTTTTGAGGGTTGGTTGGGGTAAGTCGGCTAAGTGTAAACAGATACAAGAAGTTGTTGATCATTGTTACCAGTGGCCATCACCGACTTGTAATGCCCGATTCTAAATGCGGTTTTCAGTATCGATGTCCACCATCTCAGCTACGGTCCACGCTTTTGCAGTCCGAGTGACGTCGCGACTGAATATAGCGAGCAGAACCTCATCGTGGGAGTCAGGCTTTAGCGAACATTTTGCGGCGTCCGCGTGAAATGAATCGCCGCACGTCACATTATTCACGCAAAGTTTTGCCTCGATAGTTTTGCTGAAGTCGCTCAAGTAGTCCGACATTGTTAGGAGGACGTAGAATCAACAATTCCAACGCGAAAAAGAGCACGGGGACTCCCACCGACGCCGACAACAACGCAATTCAATGGTTTGTTTATGGGCGACGGCGGGCTTCTTGCCCACCATCCACCGCGCATGCGCGGCGCCGGTGGCGTCCGCTAGGGGCGCTCCGGTTTGTTTGTAAACATGTTTACTTTCACACAACTCATGTTTACAAACAAACCGGAGCGCCCCTAGCGGACGTCACCGGCGCCGCGCATGCGCCGTGGATGGTGGGCAAGAAGCCCGCCGTCGCCCATAAACAAACCATTGAATTGCGTTGTTGTCGGCGTCGGTGGGAGTCCCCGTGCTCTTTTTCGCATTGGAATTGTTGATTCTACGTCCTCCTAACAATGGCTACGTTTACATGGACGCGACTGCAGCGCATCGGATCCAGTTAACGAATCGAATCGGCCCATGTAAACAGCTCGGATCGGATTAGATCGGATCCGATCCGATCCGCTGGGACGGGGTGGTTTGAGATGGTCAATCCGAATCGAGACTCTCCATGTATACGCTAGCGGATCGGATCGAGTGCTCGAGCGAGGGATTACGGGAGCTTTGCTTTGCTTGCCGCTAGGCAAACCGGACACCTCGAAAACAATCTGAAGGTCAGAAGGTTTGCGTGGTGACCTTTGACACCAGGTGCCGCTGCTGGTCGATCCGAATCCATGTAAACGTAGTGGTTCAAGTGGATCCGATTCGCTAACTGGATCCGATGCGCTGCTGTCGCATCCATGTAAACGTAGCCAATGTCTGACTACTTGAGCGGCTTCAGCAAATCTATCGAGGCAAAACTTTGCGTGAACAATGTGACTTGCGGCGATTCATTTCACGTGGACGCCGCAGAATGGGCGCTAAAGCCTGACTCCCACGTCGAGATTCTGCTCGCTATTTTCAGTCGCGACGTCGCTCGGACTGCAAAAGCGTGGACCGTAGCTGAGATGGTGGACATCGATACTGAAAACCTCAAGTAGAATCGGGCATTACAAGTCGGTGGTGGCCACTGGTAACAATGATCAACAACTTCTTGTATCTGTTTACACTTAGCCGACTTACCCCAACCAACCTTCAAAAGTGTTTTGAGGCCTGCACTTAGTTCTTATCGCAATTACCGGGTCAATGTTTGGTTTACGAGCCGCTGTCGTTTGAACGAACTGACGACAAAAAGCAGCCAAGTTTGAAAGAGCAGACGACAGTTGGAACGCACGCGCAATGGAGTACGGGCAAGACGCACCGCGTCCCGCATCAACAAACCATTCGAATGTCACGTTGTCGGCGTCTGTGTGAGTCTGCGTACTCTTTTTCGCGTTGGAGTTGTCGATTCTACGTCCTCATCGCAATGTCTTACCACTTTAATCGCCTGAGCGAAATCATCAAGGCTCGTTACGCTGCTAAACTTTGCATAAATAATTTGACGTGCGGCGATGTATTTGCATGACCGCCGCAGAATGGACGTACAAAACCATGATGAGACTCTTCTAGCTATTTTCGGTCGCGACGACCCTCGTGCTGCAAAAGTGTAGAAGGTAGCGGCGATGATCGACGTCGATACTGAAAATCGGAAGCGGGAACAGACAAAGCGTAACAAGTAGGTGATGGCCACCGGTACCAATGATCAACATCTTGTATCTACTGCTTACACCGAGCCTACTTAAGTCTTTTGAGGCCTGCAATTACTTCTTATTGCAATCACCAGGTCAAAGTTTGGTCTACGGGCCGCTTTTGTTTGAACGAGCAGACGACAAAAAACAGACAACTTTAAAAGAGCAGACGAAAGTTCGAACGATCAGGCGGCCGTGTGAATTTGAAGACGCACTGAATCCGTGGGTGGTCCGGACAACTTGGGGGTTTTCTCTCGGTCATGTTGGAACAAAGCAAATACATCTGGCGACTACAAATTGTGGCCCGCACACGCAATCGTAGTTCGACAGCGTCAGGTTTGCCCTTTTCACGGCTGCTATCGACGTTCTCGGACGAACGGAGGGTGCAAAAACACATGAAAACTGATCTTCAAACCTTCCCAGACTCTCTTTGTAAAGCCCCCATCGCAGCATTTTGACGAGAAGGCATGTCTTTTGTCTCGTTTCTTCCAAAGGAACACAGGAATGCATGTCTGGCACGGCGACTTCTGCCCACCGCCCCAGACCGGAAGTGCGTCCGGCGCGCCACCACCGCGGCGTGACGTAGGAGCCGCCATTTTGTGTATCGAGCGACCCCTATCAGCCAGAAATTTCTGCCACCCGCCTGAGCTGTGGTAACCCGGTCAGCGTGACCCCCACCTGCATTGTGCATTCGGAGTTCGCCGGCTTTTCTTGGAAGTTTTTACTTTATTCGCCTGTTTAGGATGCTTAACCTTTGTATGTTATCTTCCACTGTGAGAACCAGGGAATACCAGGGCTCGTAGCCCGCTCGGCCTTCGCAGGAAACGAACGAAGACAGCGAACGTCAAGCAGCCCGCGACGCAGGCAGTTCGACGTTCTTGGAGGATTATTTCCGTCGAGATAATCTCCAAAAACCCTTCCAGGCTGTGTTCCGGGTCTTCGCAAAAACTAGCTGATAGGGTCGGGTCCGGGGTGTGGCGACACAATAAGCACGTTCGTTCATTTGCTATGAAGCTGTGCAAAAAAAGGAGCTCTCTTCTACATGTTCCCCAAAACACGCCAGATTCCGTCCGATCGTCGTGAAGTGACTATCGTCGACACTGTATATTGGACATGCTGTGTTATTTGAGACCTTTCTCAAATCCTGTTCGGATAACACGGCACCGAGGGGTACGTACAATATATTTTTTGTTCGATTGATGAGATTCATTGAATTTTATGTTGTGGGCGGGGAATATCCCTGCAGTACGGATATCCTGTGTGGTCAAATATTTTGACCTTTATAGATTGACACGCCTGAATTAACGGTGCCGTAAAACAATGAACATAAAATGAAACAAACATTCCAGTTGCATTTGTTCTGTCGCGCACGGACTCACCAAAACAGCTTTCATTTCTTTGTTTTTGTTCCCAAAAATAGAGAACTGCTTTCTTAAAGACCTCTATAAATTATGCTCGCCACAGAACACAAGATAAAAAAGAAAACGCGGCAATTCAGCCTCCACCAGCGTCCGGAATTGCGCCCCACGCAGGCTGCCACAGCCTACTGACGAGGAACTCCACAGCTCAGCGCAGTCGGGCAACACTGACGTACACTCTCAAAACCTGGGACACGCGCTGTAAATCGCTTCGTTCGAGACTGCCGCTGGAAAGAGCTTTCACAAGCCCCTCTGTACGTGGGCGCCATCTGTCCCCGTGCGAGTGAAGCCCGCTCGGTGCGCCGAACATAATGTGGTCGCCGCGCGAGACAGAGTCATCACCTAAATGCATTTCTTCCACCGTGACCTGGGGTGATCGACCACTACGAGCACTCGTCTGCAAAAATATGTTTTGATGGCGCCCTCGTATGGTTCCCTCTCGTGACGTCATTACCTTGCGAACACCAAGTTCGATGGTGTTTGCAATGAGCATGGTGGAAGTTTGAAATCACTGCGCTCTGAAACCAACGCTGACAACACCGTCAAAATTAAAGTTCTTACATTACTCTTTTTTTCCTCAATGAGGAAGCCTCAGCATTTGGCCAATCGTGGAAGGCCGACCACAGCGACGCTTTCGATCGCGCACGTCGCCAATAGTGGAAGAAGACGAATGCGCGTGCCATTCGACGGGCACGCAGCTACGAGGTCGTGGTGGGGCCAAGTCGCGGTTTAGGCGCCGACTTTGGTGGCCGGATGGCTAGCGGTTGAACTAGGGGCCCCCAGCGAGCGGGCAGCAGGTTCACTGCAACTGCCATGGCCGAAGGTGCCTTGGAGTCCCCGCAGGGGCTCAAAGAAGAGGAGTCCCCCACTGGTACATTCGGCAACGACTGGACCCACTACGTGAGTCGATGAAAGCCTGAGCTGCCCCTCGGTAACCTGGGAGGCTATGTTGCACGTTGTAGACTCCCAGGAGACTAGGAAGAAGGGAGTGACGTAGGCGTGAATGAACGTATCTTAGCAGCACGCAACGCGTCATCAGCGACTCTACCAATCAACATCCTAAGAGCGTTGTTGACGTCACTTCCTTCTCCCTAGTCTCCTGGGAGTCCAAAACGTGCAACATAGCCCCCCTGCAGCATAACAGGTAGCAGTTTACACTTCTAGTAGATTCAAGCAATGCAAGTCAAGTAAAAAAATATAAATGCATGGCGTGCGTCGTCATATCAGCTGTCATTGTGATTGTCTTGCTGCTGATCACGAACCTTCTGCAGCATACATTTTGCATCCCCTTTATTTTTTTTCCGGCAAGAACCAGTATAAATGACCTGAAAGATGGTGCGATATAACATGCAAGCCATTTATAGAGGTGGCAACCGCGTTGGTATTATCAGTGATTTAACCAGTAGACCAATTTGACCACGCTGATTGGGTTGTTCACGAATCTGGCTATCATGTTCGCTGAAACCAACTATTGCGCAGTATTTTTATATCGTGCAGTGTGTAAAGCACATAAGAGAACGGGTGATATTTATTGATAACCACAATTGTGCGCATTGTTTAGTGCACACTTGGAGCAATCTTTATACGACCATAGTCACGGGTGGGGATCAACGTGCCCTCTGCCAAGGGCCACGCATTTCGCGGTTCGACATGAACCTAGAGAAAGCTCGCTGACCAACAGAACAACACAACTATGCGGTCAGTGAATAATCTGTATTCTCCTCCAAGAGCAATCACCTTGCAACCACAAGGAATATTCTTTGTCGGTGTGGAAGCTTACTGTCAACACGTGATCGGCAGCAGCGAACTCGGATCTGGCGGCTAGTTAACAAAATACTTAGTATTGGGGCAACTCATCGCATAGGACAATTTGCCAGAAACCTTTACATAATGTAATTCAAATTAGTTCAAAAATCATTTATTTCCATGTAATCTTGCACTTGACCTAGTAAGCCGTGCCCAAATTGAGTAAGCATTGTCGAGGCTCACCCTTAAATCAGGAGATTTTTGAGATTGTATTAATAATTAACTGACTGGTGGAAACGTTCCCATAGTCACTGATTAATCCCGTGGGGCTGCAATGACTTGTATTCAAATTTCCCCATTAACTGGGGGATGACATCAACACGCAAGTAATTTCCTCAAAGCAAATTTATTTAACCATGAACACAGAAACAAATATAGCCTTGCTTACAATGATATGTCTGGCGTACGCATCGGTGATGTTTGTCGATCCTGTCCTAGCGATGTACGATATCCTGAAGGCACACGTATTGCAAGCTTGCTGCATTTACTTGCTACTTTGCTTGGCTTTATTTTAAGCTGCAGCGTGCTTTGTTTTTCGAGTTGAGGAATGTACATAGATATAAGTTGAGACTCAACTCATGTCCTTATACTAGACTATATTTAAGAACATACAAATCCAAGATTAATATGCAGCCATTTTTGACGTGCCGCTTTTCTAAAGAGTTATCTGTTAACGGAATGTTATCAGCTGTCGGAATTACGCACGGATCAAAATTTTTTCAGAGTACCGAGAAAAACGGATGCCGCCTCGAAAAAAAAAAAAAAAAGCATTTTATTTTGCCAGTTTTTTTTAACCTTGTATCGCCTGATAATTATTTTGTTTAAGCTCACAGTTAAACTTTTCGAGCCGGAGTTGTGACCACATCACGGGACAACCCTATCTACAAGTTCCTTTTTTTTTCAGAGATTACCAAAACGGACAGCCAAATTTTTTAGAATGTCTGCGATGATACAGGGTGAGAACGGCAGGGCGGAGCTTGAGTTTTCCCGCCTCCAGAGCAAGCTTCCTACCTCCGTCAACGCTTCAGGCAAAGCAGGGCAACGGGCATGGGCGGAACGCTTGCTAAAAGCCGGGCGTTAGGAAAAAAAAAAAAAGAAAAAATGAAGGCCGTTTACAACTGTAACGCCGAATTAGAGTGCAGCTCTTGAGGAGGAGGAGGGGAACGTACGGAGAGGGGGCTATGCCCCTCCTCCTCTCCTGCTCGCCCCCTATTTAGGGGAAATTTTCTGCTAAATTTAGCGGGGAAATGTTTCCGCTATATTTAGCGGTTAAATTTTCCCGATAGAATTAGCGGGGAAAATCTTCCGCTAAATCTAGTGGGGAATATTTTCCGCGAAACTTATCGGGGAAACTTCTTCGCTAAATTTAGCGGGGAAATTTTTCTGCTAAATTTAGCGGGGAAAATTTTCCGCTAAATTTAGCGGGGAAAATTTTCCGCTAAATTTAGCGGGGAAAATGTTCCTCTAAATCTAGCGGGGAAATTTCTCCGCTAAATTTAGCGGAGAAAATTTCCGCTAGATTTAGCGGGGAAGATTTTCCGCTAGATTGAGCGGGGAATTTTTTCCGCTAGATTTAGCGGGGAAAATTTTCCGCTAAATTCAGCGGGAAAATTTTTCGCTAAATTTAGTGGGGAAATTTCCCCATCATGCACCGCGCGGTTACGCCGACGCCGACGCCGACGGCGACGGCGCTCAAGCCGGAAACGGGCGCGTAAGAGCTGCGCTCTAAAAAGAACACGTTTTGCTGTTCTTATTCTGTAAATAGGGAACTCTATATAATAGGGGGACCCTCAACGCTCAAGGCGTCGCACTGTGCAAGAGCAGAAGTTCTGCGCCGTGCTCAGTACGAAGCCCCAAGATGCTTGACAAACCCAGAAGCGTTGCCCGCCCCCCTCCCTCCACCCCCCCCCCCCCCCTCCCTTTTTGACGCCCTTTTAGACGGCACACACGAGCCTTCCTGACAGCGCTTAAAGAGCGTGCACTTTTGAACGATGCGAGGCAGGGAGGCGATTTCGGAGGACTAGGAGCGGTGTCCGTGGTGCTGCTCAGGGACAACGAGTACTTGCTGCCAACGAGCGTGCTGTGCGAGAACAGCCCCGTCATCAGGAACGCCGTCTCTAAACAGCGGGGAGACACCATCCCCAGGGTGCGTACGCTTTTTGAAATTTCCCTTCCCGATGCGCGTGTCTTGGTATACACTCATAATAGGAAATACTTAAAGGGGCCCACCAACAATTTTTTGACCGGCTTGAAGTTCGCGCTGAAACGGAGCTCCATGAAAGCAGGAACACCGAGCAAAAAAAATATTACAGAAATTCGCAATATTTTGTGAGTTATTAGAAAACTAAATATTGCAGAAAAAAATTTTAAATAAGCAAAACATTGCGCTTCATGACGTAAAATGAAACAGTTTAGCGATTGGAGCAAAGCGGTTGGCCAATTGGAGCAAAGAGCCGGCCCGGGCGATTGGAGCAAAGCGCAAAGCGTCGGCCCGGTCGGCTCGTCGGCCATTAGGCCTAGCTGCAACCATCGTAGCTTTGGGATCGGGTTGCCATCATCGATGAATTTACCTGGCTTATCGGATTTTGAGTGCGGAGCTGGGCGTCGCGCCGTACGAGGACACTCCACGCAAGCGCCGCGACGCGTCTCTGCCTCGGTCCGCTTCGAATGCCGCGGAAGACTCGTCTCCCGCAACTCCGCCACCGGAGCCACCTCGGCGAGTAGGAGCTACAAACTGGTGAGCGGTCCCGTTTGGGAAAAGCTGGGTCCCGTCGCCGCACTTCACTCGAACAGTGAAAAGTCTGTCACAGCACTAAAAGAAAATAACGGTTCCCCTGGCTCCTCTTACTGCTTTTAGTTGACCGGGACCGGGGGCGCACAAGTGAAAATACGGTGCGCGTTGTCTGCATGGATCACTTGTCGTCTGCTCGCGATGGTACGTCGCGGACGCCGCTGAGAGGCGCGCATGAGCGACAAGGGCTCTGACAGGGCGCAGAGCCGTTTATTGAGAGAGTTTGGCCATACATTGGTTTGAATAGGCGAGCATCTCGGGGCCAACCACAGGCCGCGAAACAGCCCCTAACGGTGGTCGTGTGCTCTAAGTTTGTGACACGACTAATTTGAGCCTTTTTAGCGTCGCTAGAGTGAGAAGGTTTAGCTCTCGGTGATTGAAAACTTTGTGCATGTGAGGTTTTAGTCACGCCAATATTCAAGTGTAGAATAAACGAACGTGCGTTCCAAACCAGGGCCGACTTGCTAGAAACAGCGTTTAAGCCGAGACGGGGAAAGAAAGCACTGCCAAAGCCAGCGCACGAGCCGAGCGGGACTCCGCGTCTCAAGACGCTCGCGCGCCCCACCAGTTTTTTTTTTTTTTTTTTCAGCCAGCCTCAGCTTAGACGCTGTTCTAGCAAGCCGGCCCAGAGCGAACTGTCACCTATATTCCATCTGCACAAACATCAACAGTGCAGACAAAGGCATGGGCACGAGCGAGTGGCTTTGAAAAGTGCCTCCTATGCACGAGTTCTAGTACAAACAAAAGGCAGAGAGGCCGATATTGAACGCTTCTATTTCACGCTTTAAATGCCGTTTGCAATATTCTGACGTCGCGGTCTCCTGATTGGTCGACGCTGTGTCACTAATTTAGTTTACGCTCTAAGCGCGGGGGGAATATTCGGCGCTGGCGGCGGCCTTTGCTCCGCCTATTGGCCAAACTCTCCCAATACACGGCTCTGACAAGGCGTTGTTTTCGCCCTTTTTGAACTTTACTTTGCAACCTTATTAGCTCTATAAAAATGACCTGTTAGAGAAATAATGGCGGTTAACGTGTGATATACTTTATTTCGCTTCAAAATTCCTGGGACGGCTCTCGCCAATCACGAAACCCAGAGAATGTGACGTATAGTGAAAGGGAGCGCCGTTATACGCGCGCATTCGGCACCTCACGGTGCCACCGCCGGAGGAGGTGTTTCCGAGTTGTCAAATTAAAATATGATGCGCTAATATTTTCAAACTCTTTCGTTGTCCATTGGGGTTTCGGGACCACTAGCGTGTAGAAACCGCAAAAAAAAAGTAGATGCTCAAATACTGTTGGAGGGCCCCTTTAAAGAACAAAAACGACTCGAGCAAAATATACGGAATGACAATAATAAAAAACAAGCAAAAATAAAACAGTACACACAGATCATAGAACCCAGACTACGTGACTCCAATCATGACGACCATTTGATCGAACCTTTTTACTGACTGTGAGGAAAAGATCGGCAGAGTGGTCTTGCAGTTGTTGCGCCTCCAGTGCAAGCTTCCTATTCGGCATCAGGTTGAGCGTCTCGTGATCCCGAAGCACGACGGAAGGCAGCGAGAACGTGCTGGAGGTTAGGGCACCCGAAAGAGACGCCCTGCACTTGTGGTGTCGGTGACTATTAGAGCCGATAAGTTTTGGCGGCGCTTTTTTATAGTTCCTACCCGTGACATCACCACCGGGATTTGCCTCGCCGTGATATCCCGAATCGTGATCCTGGCTAATCATTATCAGTTCCGAACGACAAGTTCGATGGTGTGTGTAAAAATCAGAATAGAAGCTTAGAGTTGTCGCAGACGTAAACTTTAAACCGTCAAAGTTGACAGTGTGACTTTACGCCTGTTTCCATCTATAAGAACAAAATTCTCACTAAGGTCTTTATAGTGAGTGTTTGGCAACGTTACTAGGTTATCTCAGTTGCGAGCGCCGAGATGTTTCGGTGGCGCCCTCTTATGGTTTCCCTCCGTGACGTCACGACTGGGATTTGCCTCGCCGTGACGTCACCAGTTGTTATTCTGGCTACTTAGCATCGGGTGCGACGACGAGTTCGATGGTGTGTTTAAAAAGCACAGTAGAAGCTAGGAGCCATCGAAATCCGAAGCTAACACCGACAAAGTTGACAATCTCACAGTGCTCATATGCCCATGGTTTGGCCAATCGTGGAAAGCTGACCACAGCGATGCTTTTGGCCGCGCACATCGCTAATAGTCCGTTGCAACTCAAGAAGGTAGGGCTGGTAGGGCGATGGTAAGACGGGCCGGGGAGGAGGAAGCAGACGGAATGCTGTAGAAGAGATGGGGAAACCTCCTCCTCTCTTTAGCGTTCCGTCTGCTTCCTCCTCCCCGGCCATCCTTATAACTCGCCCTACCTTCTTGAGTTGGAAAAGACTATAGCAGTATCCCACTTTTCCCCCACAGCACACCTCCCGTCGTTCGACGCTCCACCGTTTTTGGGGGACGGTTGCTATGGCAACAGCAGTATATTCTGTGGAATACATATGTTTCTAAGCACAACGGTGTTTCACTGTTCTCTATGGTAGAGTAACTGTATATGATTTGCTTGCAGAACCAGAGTATTTCGTTCCTTTTCCTTTCGCCGCCATACCCGTATTGGCGGACAAGCGGTCATTATCTTCGTTTCACGACAACTCGGCGGACTGTGGAGGCTGCGGCCCGTGCGAGTCAATAAGGGCGCCGGAGGAGGGGGCACCCACGGACCGGCGGGGGGGGGGGGGGGGGGGGGGGTGCTTTTTTGCATGCGTAACGCCGCCATAATTGCAGTTCACAAGAGGCATGCGTCAGTTCACTAGAGAGCTCGTGCCGCCTGGTGCGCTGCTCGCGCAGACCCGCAGCAGGGTTGTCGCGCGTGCAGAGACATGCAGTTCACACAATGCATGCTGGCAGCGGTGGCGCAACGAGACTGCCTGGGGAAATCGGTGTGGTGGAACAGTGGAACACTGACCACATCGACGATTTTTGGTCGCGCACGTGGCCAGGAGACCACTCCACTGTTTACAAAATTGAAAGCTCCGTGCTTAGAAAAACAACCAAAAACATGCCAGCAGCGCGAGCTTGGGGCTGTCAGAAAACCTCTTTGTGGAAACGCAAATATGGTGTTCGTCTCTTGCTCGAAATACGCGAAGTGCGCGCATCTTATCATCTCGCATGTGGTGAGAGTTTCTTCATCGCAGATCCAGATCAAGGGGGTCGACGACAAGACGTTCGAGGTGCTCGTTGAGTACATGCGTTCTGGCGACACCAAAGTGAACGTACAGAATGTCATCGACGTCTACCACGCCGCGCAGAGCCTGCAGATCACGCCCCTGGAAATGCACTGCTGGAGCGTGAGTTACCGCTGGCGACGGTCCGATGCCACTTCGAAGGCGAAGAGCTCGTTCATAACTAATATTAGACATTCCCGCTCAGTTTATATTAACACTCACAACTCCACCGAGCTCTCTTAACATGTCTACACATTTGTACTTCTATATCAGCGAAATGTGTAACTCAGATGTTCTATAGAGTCAGTGCAGCGTATCGAGCGCTGCATTGACTGCATAAAACATTCAATCTAAACAAAAATATGCGTAGCTAAAAAAAAAAAAAAAAAAAAAAAAATGCACAGCAACAATTAATGAACATTGAATTCCCGTGCTTATTTTATCAAGATAAAATCGATCACTGCCTCAAAATTTTGAAGAAGACATTAAAACAAGAAGAAGAAAAGCCAAGTGTTGTTACCGATTTTTCGGGCTGACTTCAGAGCGACCAAAATCTAACAGTTATTCTATAAAGTGACCGTGTGCGCATTTTTTAGAGCAAGTGTGTCCTATCGTCTGGATCACCGAAATGATGCGCATTACCTCACGCACTATGCGTATGTTCCGTGACACCTTATGATGAACTGCAATAGGCGTGATATGACGCGTCCCAGACGATAGACTACTTCAAAAAATTCCTGCATGCAACACTGCGCGCGTTGCATCACATAACTTCTTTGGCAATGAAGAGGAGTGTCATGGTTTCGATTTCGATCGCCCTATTGACGAAACAATGGCTACCACTCCAGAGTTCAGCATAACTTTCCCGGGTCACGGATCATTTAAGAAGCCTAGGACATTGAGACGATGGAACAGGAGGATCGGCCCAGTACACTTATTCCTATGTTTACCTGCGCACAAACTATGGCGCGTCGGGAATCCCCCCAAAACGTGCCACAGCATCCTATCCGTATTGGAAGGCAACACCTACAGTATTATAGGTTTAAGGAAAGTCAGATATTGGAAAATACATGCACTGTATTTGGTTGTGACAGGATGTCGTGAATTGAGATTGGCAAATGAAAACCGAAGCCTTTACTGACGAGTACCCAGGACGCTTTGCGCGGCACTAGGCCTCTAGGATTGCTTCCATTTGACAAGAGGTCTATTCAGCGCTTTGAATGCGTATGGGAACTTTCCGCTCCGCGCGTCACCGTGACCAACCGGATCGGATGGCTTCGTGCCAGTTGAGGCAGCTGCCTCGACGTGCACTCAGGAAGCCCAAAATGATAGATTGCGGCAGCCACCCCTCACAATTAAAGAGTAAAAGAAACAAACAAAGGCTGTGACGTATCCCGCCGGTCAAAATACGCCACATCTGTCCTCGCCAAGGCAGATATATTGCCGCATAGTTTGTTGCAGGTTAAGAATTACAGGACCAGCTACTCACACAAAGCGCTCTCCTTGCCGTGATTGGTGGTTCCCTCCTGTCCACTCGGCTCCTCTCCAGCGTTTGCTGTGCTGAAATGGAAAGGGGGCGTTCTTAGAGGAGCTGACTGATGGACGAAGAGAGCGTTGGTGCGGGTCAAGATTAAAGAAATAATAAACATGTAGGACAAAGAAAGCACAACCACATGATTGGTAGTGTTGTCTTTGTCCTACATGCTTATTCTTTCTTTAATCTCGGAGGAGCTGTTCTGCTGTTATTAACCTGCAACAAACTAGGGTTTCCGCTAACGAGCCGGAAAAACCGGCGCCTGCACATAGGAAGTTCAAACTTTCACCGAATGCGCATTGTTGTCTGCTCGCTGTGACTCTAGGTAGATGGCGCCACAAGGAAATAGCGTCGTTAACTCGGTCGTCTACGAACGCGCCCAATCTTGATTCTGCCAAGTGTGTTTGCTTTAAGGTTTCACAGGAAAAGAACTCGCCTTGATATTTCACACGGTAAAACTGACCTGCTCAGTCAGTGCATGCTCGGTGAAAGTCTAGCTTTTTATATGCAGGTGCTGATTTTTCCGGTTTCCTTTTCAGAAGAACTTCTGCTTGGGACACCCTATATGCTACAAAAATACAAAACAACATATGGCGAGCAAATGACATCATGTACACTACCCACACCGAAAACATCCACCCTCTTACCATGTCATTTAAAGACCTTCGAGCATTCTTTTCTTCTAATATGAGTGTGTAGCAAATGTATGATATTTACCTTTTGGACAATACTAACATAAATGTATTACCTTACTTTGTTGATTTGAACTGTGCTTTGCGTGTATGTATTCTTTTTCTGTGAACATTCTTTTACATGAATTTTTGTCTTCTTCTGTTTTGTTTTCTGCGCCCCTGGCTGCCAAATGTAAGGATGGGGGGCCGAGGACTTGTCAAGCTGCATCATGCAGCTTTTTTCCTCGGTCTCCCTCCGTCATACACTTTTGACGGAAATAAAACATATTATTGTTATTGTTTATTGTTTATATAGAAAGTATTTGCTATTACAAAGCGTTCTCGCCTTCGCTCCTCGAGGAGCGAGGGTGCCTTGCGGAGCAGGACACTCTCATGCAAGTGTCATGTATTGCAATCAACACTGCAAGTAAGATTCGTTTCTTCCACGGCTCACTTCATTTCTTCGCGTCCCGCAGAGCGTCTTCGACAGGGAACCCAAGGAGAGGAGTTTGCCTGCGTGGGTAGCGGCAAAAAGACTCAAGATGGGAAAGGAGGAGAAACAATTGCTTAAATTCATCACGCACAATTTTGACGACATTGCCAGCACCAAGAGCTTTATGGAACTAGAGTGCGACCAGGTGAAGGAGATCCTCAGGTCCGACGTCATCAAAGCTGAAAAGTAAGCCGGCGCACAGTTTATACGAACGAATTCTACCCGCTGTCGAACCAGTATTATGATGCCATTCGAATTTTCTTATAGGCTTTTTTGATACAACATGACTTTTTTTGCTTAACGCAGAACGGCAGGCACGTAACGGCCGGAGTCAAAATGAATCACGTAGTCATAATTCATTTTTTTGTGTGTGTTTAGGCAAAAAAAGTGTAAAGAGACTATGCAAGCAATTGTGATACCAGGTCAAGTGTTATGCACCGTCATCCTTGTACACTTTCTTTTTATGTGTTGTTGTTTTAAGTGTAAATTGAATTTATATTTTGGTGTGGATTCTAAGATGTTTGCTGTCACATCCCAGATATATTCCTGTAATACTTAGCAAGAAAAAACGAACGTTGTAAGGCAAGCTGCTTGTACACCAAATTCGAAGCTTTCGTGGTATTCTTTACTCTATAATGTATATAAATAGATATTTTTCAGCGTCAGTACACAGCATCTCACAGACACGAGTGAATCACTAAGGTGATTGGGTGGCCGCACTTTATTTATAAACTGCCACGCTATTCTCCAGCGAACTGGAGTTGTACAAGTTCGCCATGAAGTGGATTCACCATGACTGCAAGGAGAGGCAGAAGTTTGCAAGCAGCCTGATGGAAGTCATTCGCTTCCAAGACATGACGCCCGCTCAGGTGGATAACTTGAAAAAGTACCCCGTCTGTCCCGAAGTCCAGAAGGCGTTCGACATAAGCAACAGAATTCCTCAGCCGTAAGTTGACCTGCATGAGCTCCGCGGTTTCGTGCGCTGCGTAGGTGCGCGCATAACATTTGATGATCCCAATATTGTTTTTCTTGTTGCAGTGGGCAGAAAAGGCCCGACAAGGGTCGGGATTATGGCGCAGGATCAAAGGTAATTGTTTGTATATTCTCTTTGAAGGCGGATGTTGTATGCCGGTCAAATGAAGTGATTACCGGGTACAGTGCAGTTCGAGCAATCAGGCAACTGATTTGCGATTATAGTTGGTTACAGGTTAATAACCCAGTAGGTGCCCCGCGTTGGGCGCGAGCTTTAACATAACTGATTTGACAGCACTTCGTCGCACGCGCAATCAATGCCCGCCAGAAGGCAACGAGCGCGGGTTGGAGGCGAAGCATCAAATGTGTTCTTAACCTGGCACCGACTATAATAAATAAATGCGTACAAGTGGTAAACTAAGTGTTGTGTGTTCTTGGGACTTCAATTCGTTGTTCAGAGCTGTGTTTTTCCTAAGGAATACAAGAGAACAATATATAGTGCTGGACTTGAAATGTTGCACGAGCTTTTCGAAAAGGGATCACTTTGCTAACCATGTCGCCGGTTGTCTCACAGACACGACGGCTGTCATTTAGACGCTTTCTCAGGGCTGAGGAGCGCTTTATTTGTATAAAGAATATCATCCTGAATGCATACTTTACATTATCCTCCTCCTCCTCGTCACCAATCCTATATCCACCGTTGATTCAGATTTTTTCAGTGACGTAATTTTTATTTCGCGGATATTCAGGGAACTAATGTGTTGAAAAGTTAGAAGGTAAATACATGTCCTTTGCTTTTTTTTTTTGTTCTTCCGGGTCTTTATATTGAACACCAGAAAAACCCAATTAATTAAAGAAAGCGTGCTTTTGGAAGCTTAAATCATGTCACCGCCGATCTAGCCAGCCGTTATGATTCCTTTTATTTAGTAAAGATCAGAAGTTCTCAATGTCATACAAGAAAAGATACGTTTTGTTGGTAAATTATATGAACATGAAAACTCCCTCATTGTTAACAATTACATTGTTTATGTTGTTCAAAGTGAGTTTTTTTTTGTAAGCGCAATGTCACAATTAAGATAGCACTGGACACGGAGAAAATGACCAACAGAGCAGAGATTCATCGCATTAGTTTTTGCTTCAAAGAAGAGTGGAGAAATGGTACTCCATAGTTACTGACAAGGTGAGAACCGCAGAGAGGAGACTGAGTTTTCTCGGCCTCCAGCGCGAACTTCCAGCCTTCGACAACGCTTCAGCATCTCGTTCACCTCGAGCGCGCGCGCGCAGGCAGCTGAAGCACTATTAAGGCCTCGAGCTGCTTGTGGGCGCATTAAGCAGAAGAAATTCAAATTCAAAATCAAAGCATGGCGGAGGGCACAAAGCGAGTCCTGGAGTTCGGGCGTTTAAAAGATACGCCCTTCTGTCAGTGGCTATGCGGATAGCAAGTCGTATGCTGCTTGCGCAGGAGTTGCGGTGACGTCAGAACGACGCCGAGCTCTGATTGGCTTCCATTGAAAGGGTAGTGGGTAGACGTCAAGGCTGCTTGCTTTGAGGTCTACCCACTATCCTTCAATCAGAGCCAATCAGAGTTTGGCGTTTTGGTGTTACCACAAGCCCTGTAAAAGAAGCAGACGAACTTGCGGTTTGCATAGCTTTGAGCCAGAGGGCTCCAGATCGTCTCTGGGAATCGCGGGTATGCCCCCGGAGTTCACAATGCGCATGGTGAAATTTTACAATACAAATGGCTGGCACTTCGTTTATTTTCTTATTCTTGTTTTACCTTAAGCTCATCCTTGACCAACCTTCGTTTTTGCTACGACACAAAACTTGAATGGTTTATGGCATTTGTTGGCCTTAAGAAGACCAGTATTTGGTTTCTGCCTAATTTCGATGCGTAGACACATTGTGAATGTAATCTGGTTTGCAGCTGGTTGCATTCTCATTGGGCGGACAATTTCTAAAGCGGCAGTAATATATGAGCTTAAACATATACTAATCCCGATGCTGATAAATATATGCCCTGCTTTTCGCCACGGTCAGGAGAAAGCAGAAATGCCGACTCTTACTTTTCATGGTTTAATGGCAACAACTACTCGCAAAAAAAAGCACACAAAAAAAAAACAACAACAACAACAACAAAATTGCGTGTGTACGATTCGTCCTTATAATCTTTTTCATATATCTTACAATAATAAATCCTTCATCTATTTTCTTGCTTCATTTTTGTCTTGTTTGTCTACTGTTGAAGGGTCTAACAGCTCGCACATGTCTTCATACATGAAGTTGATGATAAGCTTCTTTACGTGCCAGTTTATGTATCATCAATATATATATATTGACGATATTCAACATATACCAACAAGACCTGCCGAGATCACAACTGCGTTTTTTTGGCTTTAGCCCGCAGTTCCCGTGACTCCACAGTCTAAGGCAGCCACGCCAGCTACACCAGCCCCACCAGCCGCACCAACCACCCCAACCACGCTAACCACGCCAACCACGCCAGCCACACAAGCCACGCAAGCCACGCCGATCGCACCAGCACCCGCGCCCCCACCTGTTTTGGTACCGGCGTTGTCGTCTCAGCCACCTGTAGAAAAGACGGTACCGGTAGAGAAAGTGCCTGCCGCGACACCACCTATTGTACCAAAAAAACTTGAACGGAAAACGGATGAAAAAAAGGCAGAGCCCATAAAAGACGAGACAAAAGAAAGTAAGCAGTCCTTGTTACTGAGCTCCGCGCCCCCCAAAGGAGCGGACTCCAAGGAAAAGATCAAGGGGGCTGACGATAAGAACAAGAAAAAATTGGATTCAAATGATAAGGATGACAAGGACAAGAAAAAAACGGACTCTAAGGATAAGGTAGATAAGGACAAGGAAAAACCGGACCCAAAACTTAATGTGAAGGGATATAAAAAGGATAAGGCGCAAACCGAGAAGAAAGACAAAAAAGACAAGAAGGACAAGAAAGACAAAAAGGACAAGAAGGACAAAAGAGATAAGAAGGACAAATCTGTCAAATCAGAGGATACGTCTGCTAAATCTGAGACGAAGAGCGACGTGCTTTCTTCATCGACAGCGGCACCCACACTCTCCGAACCGAGCCCGGCATCAAAGTCGTTGCCTTCAGACTCCCAAGTTGCAATAGATAAAAGCAAAGATAAAAAAGACAAGGACAAAAGAAAAGATAAAGGCAAGCAAAAGAAGGATAACGATAAGAAAGGCAAGGATAACAAAGAGCAGCCCAAGAAGAAGCGTGGATTTTGTCCCTGGAGCAGTAAGAGCGGAAAATCGTCTAAAAGTCAGTCGAAGGAGCTCAGTAAGAAAGGAGGTAAAAAGGAAAAGGGAAATAATAAAAAATCAAAGGAAGGAGGAAAAAAAGGCAAAGGTAAAGATACCACTTCCAAAGAGACTGTTGCTCGCACCGAATCCAAGCCCACAGAAGCCGGCAAGAAAAAGAAGTCCAAGAGCAGAGAAAAGAAAGATAAGAAAAGTACCTCCAAGGAGTCCAGTGGCAAGAGTAAAAGCAAAGAAAGTAAGGAAAAAAGTAGCAAGGAGGGAAAGAAAGAGACTGCAAGAAAGCCAAAGAAAGAGAAGAAGGCCAGCAAGGAGAAGAAAGGCTCAGACACCAAAGCCGGTGGTGGCGGTAAGAAAAAGGAGAGCGCCAAGCCTTCAGCCAGGTCTCGGAGGCAGGACAAACCGCGCCAGAGCGAAAAGTCCCCCTCTAGTTCCAGAGATGCCAAGTCCTCCAGTAAGAGTTCAAAGTCTTCCTCCGCCCCTGTCCCAGGACGCAAGCTGGCCAGCCACAGAAAGTCGGACACTGGCCTCCAAAAGACGTCGGATTCAGGTGGGGCCAAGTCTCACAGGAACACGCACAACGCAAACCGGATGTCACGTAGGAGCTCGGACACGTCGACGCTGGGCAAGAATCTGCTGAGGGCAGAACGGCGCAAGAGGAACCTATCCAAGGTTCCACACCGAGCCAGGTCGGACACCGTACACTCGTCTGACTTTAGCCTGAAGGCACTAGAACATGGCTCGTTCGCAGGGGAGGAGATGGTGGTTGCAGTGCTGGGAGGACTCGCCGTGGACTCCAAGGGTGCTAACCGCGAAAGTAGGTTTGGTCACTGACCTGTTCAGGGAAATTTTCAGAGACTCAGCTACCTGGCCTGAACATATAAGGACAGTTACTCTGAGAAAATTTTTGCGTTCTCCATTTCGTCCTTTTTGGACTCCCGTCTCAGAGTAACTGTCTTTGTGGTCATTTATTGCTAACTCAGCCGCTTTTTGTTCAAGATTATGTTTTGTAGACTGGCGGACTGGTCACGCGTAATTAAAACGAAATGAAGTGAGTAAGAAAGCAAATGATCAGTTTAATGAATATCCCGAAGCGTAAATGAACGCAACGCCTTTCCGATGCACAACGTAAGTAGACGGCGCTTGCTATAGAACTTTATTTTTGTTCTATTTTTTTAATATTTATTTTACTGACAGGTATGTAAATAGCTCAGCATAACTGCGTGACATCTATACGTTGTAGTGAAAAAGAAAATTTTATTCGGTTTTTGTAAAATAAGATTAGTGAAATTTTGCAGTTGCGACATTGCTCGTGCGGCAAAAGCAGCGGGGTGGTGGCCCACGTCCCTGCTGCGAATTTGCAAGCAAAGCCGCTCCGTGCGAATTAGTCTTAAGATGATTATATAGCATTTAAATTGTTCAGGCATTGATATTAGTAGGTTTTGATTTTTAATCTGATGCCGCCGGGACCTATTTCTTTTTCAGGTAACGCTATTGTCAAGTATGTGCCCAAGGAGAGCAAGTGGACGCTTTCTGGAAAGCTGCCAAGCAAGCGGTACGGGCATCTGGCTGCGGTGACCAAGGGATGCTTGTACATAGTCGGTAAGAAGCTTTGTTCGCCAGAGCTGAGAAGGGGTGCAAACATTGATCGATTACTAGCTTAACTGTTTGAGTGACTTGTGCGGCCAGGAAGCATCCTTCTTGCTTTAACGGCTGTCTCAATTAAATATATATATATATATATATATATATATATATATATAATTTTTGTTTCTTTAACATAACTTCCTCAAATGCTGCAATGTGAGCGAGTAGCTATAGCTTGTGAATCCTTTGCCCAAAGGCCTGTGCAGCCAAGGCGCGATCATAAAGCGAGGTCACACAGCATATGCACCATAGAAAAGACAGTCTGCACCAGGGTGTAAGATAGACAGGTGGGGAAACGAGAGCCAAATGAGCGACCGGATTGTGTCCCCCTCGGTCTCCTCTTTTTCTGTGGCGCCATCTATGTGGAGCACCGCGAACTCTCACTCCGGGTGGGCGACCGGTGGCGACCGGCTAAACAGACCGAGATAGTGTCTCGTGGATTTTCAATGGCGGACTGTCGTGCTCTCGGTTTATTTTGCGCACTCTCCCATAGAATTCCATGCAAATCCGATTCCGATTTGTTTCTTCTCGCCGCAGCGCCATCTGTCGCAAATCGGCGGTACCCGCAAGCAGACGAGTACACAATCCGGTCACGGCGCTGCGGTAGGCTTCTATGGGCCGTTTCCCCATCTGTCTATCTTACACCCTGCTCTGCACACAGATTCGAACCCCAGTCACCGCGAGATTTGTGCTTCGAATGCCGCATGGCAATGAGTTCAAGGAGGAAACTTTGAACGCGGCATTCGAACGACGGATATTGCGGTGAGTCGCGTTTTAGGCTGTACTTTTGTATGATATGAGCAGTGTGACCCCGGCTCCAGCGAGCAACTTGTGCTTAGAGACTTTGCTGTAGTATGCAGTAACGTACGATTGGGTAAAGCGGTTAAAACTGGATATACGGAGACTTTGTTTGTATTTTGTTGGTATGGTGGCAGAGAGTTTAAGAAACGCTGGGCGTGGCTTGTAATGTTCATCCTCCTTGTTTTTTCACTCGTCATTGGGTACTTTTATATACTGCAACCTCATTCACTAAGAAGCGATAATAAGAAATGCACAGGACTATACTCTGTTTCACCTTGTCTTGTACCGGAGGAAAGGCTACAAGCGCGAGTTCCTTGCTCTATGGCACACCTCGGCGGCACAAGCTCTCGTGCACCAAGGGTAGCTGCCAACGCTATGAGCTCGCGCTTCTAGCCTTCGCTGCGGTACAACATGAGGTGAAACGGAGTATAGCCATGTCATGCGTGTCTTAATATGCCAGTTACTACAGATGCGATTCATACTTTTTTTTTCTGCGCAATCCATATCTGTGTTTTATTAGAAAATATGCAACGTGTATGGGTAAAACTATCGTGCCTCGAGCAGGTTGCTGTCTTAGTTTCTTCACAATTTGATTATAAACGTGAAGTAATCGAGAACAGATTATTTTTTTTATACGAATTGCACTTAGATGCGACGATTAGACTGAGTACTGATATTTGCCCCCCCCCCCCCCCAATAAAAAAAAAAAAAAGACCTCAAGGCTTTTTTTTTTTTTTTTGATTATGAAAGAGAGGTTCAAACTTCAGAACCGTAGGCTGAGAATCGCCATTGAAGAGAGAAATACCAAAATAATATACCATGTGCCTAAGCTCACGCAACATCGTTTTCTCACGTTACGAAAGCTTAGCTACAAGTCGCCGGGACATCTGTGCTTCATATTGAGCTTGGGTACACTAGATCAAAGAGATAGCCTGGCACGCGACATTCAAAACACGAATGTTTTGGGGACCCACACGTATAACGAAAGAAAACGCGAGAAAACGGCGACGTGTGAACCAGCCTTTATTCTTGACAGATTTAGACATACGGAATAAAGATGACGCGAACGTCCGCCACCAATAGACTAATCTCACCGTGCGTTGCACGGATGCGTGACGCCGCCATAACTGTAGTTGACGGGAGGCAGGCGACAGTATACGGGTCAGCTTGTGCCATCTCGTGCTCTGCTCGTGCCGACCCGCGGCGGGGATGTTGCGCATGCAGAAAGTCTACAGTTCCCGCGATGCATGCTGGCAGCGGCGGCGTAGCGAAACTGGCTGGTGAGATAAATCTATTACGAGTTGGAAACGTCGTGATAATTACGCGGTCAGCGTTTGGGACAAAGTAGCGCCGTAGCTTCTCTTAATGTTTTACGTGGCAAGGGATATACTCACTTACAGTATAAATAACACAGGGCGTAGCGAGTCCCGATCACAAAAGAGGGGGGGGGGGGGGGTTCCGCCGTTTCCTATGCTTTCCCCTCCCCCTGTACGGCGCTTTGGTTCTTTTTTGACTGATAGAGCGCCGAACAGCACTGGCAACAGAGCATTTTAAATTCCCCGCCGGTGTTTTGGTTGCGCAGGACGTGCGATGCTCCTCGCTCTCCTCGCTTTGCGGGCTCATGCGTTGAAAACGAGCTAAAACTGTTTATGTAATGTGACTGAGAGACGGAAGAGTTTTTCTGAAACCACCGGAAGTGCTCTAACGGTGACAAGAGCGAGTGGATTCACTCAAAAGCGGAATTACAAGCTAGTATTCGTTCTCCGTCGACACCAGTCCGTAGGCCTCGTGAATCCGCGTAGTAGTGGTGCCGCACTCTGTTTGCTGCAACATTGCGACACAATCATATGCCGAAGAGCTGGAATGTTCACGGCGTGTGGTGTGCAGACTTGTGCCCGTTACCCGAAAAAAAAGTAATTAATAACAAGCACAAATGCTTGACTTAGAATGTCACTGATTACCGTTACGAATTACTCGCCGTGAAAGTAATCGGGTAATTGCTTTGTTACTTAACTTGATTGTTATTTTTGCGTTACACTAAAGTAGCTCACAAAAGACATTCAATGTTTACTGCGTGTTTTCGGAAGTTTTTTTTTTTTCTCATATAAACTAACACGGGGATCAAATTCACTTAATAGAATTCGTCACAATTGTTTAGATTTAGAACTTTAGAAGGTAAAATCTATAAATTATTAACTTACTTGAACTTGTGTTTGAGGTGACTGGGTCGTGCGCTGATCGGCCGAGACAGAGTTGCCTCACATGAACATACGACGAATACGTTTGGGCATTATACTTACTAACGCTAGTGAAGGCACACACATCACTCGAAATGATTGGAGTTCAGCGTCGGCGAACTGGAAAACACTGTTTGCACATGCTCGCACTGGCTGCCTCATGTTGCTAAAGGGCAATTTTTGGCGAATTTAAATGGTTTAGTAGTGAGAACAAAATGCTCTACTTGATTTTGGAACCGTTTCAAAGACTCTGCTTGATGAAGATTGCTATCTGACCGAATCACTACTTTTACTTGTTCATCAAATTGAAATATTAATGCGTGAAGTCACAGCTGAATGGAATATGCCGTTAAGAAAAATACAAAAAAAGTATCATCACCAGTAATCAGCACGTTGCCTGCTGTAAACGTCTTTCACACGTTTACAGCAGGTCTCTCCTGTCTAAACTCGAGTGTCCATGTCGGCCACTGCTTATTCACTGCTTCTCTTTCCCTAAAGTTTCGGTCTAACTTCCCGCATGCACTGTCTGCTAACGAAAACCCCCACCGGCCCCATCTGGAGCATCCTCCAACATTCTAATTTCTGAGAATGTGGCTTGGAAGTCTGAGGCTATTGAGCAGACAGGGGAGTGCTGCCATTTCGGCAGCTCTACCTTGCCTGCTCATTACCTGCGGTGGAAAGTGACGAGGATTTATGGCCGATCTCCGTTTAAACTGACAGCAGAGTGTATAATACAATTTTGCTGTTACAATAAGCTGCCGGTGTCACATCGCTGACAGATATTCTGCTTACACGAACCCACTAGTGGGAAGTCACGTGGCACAAAGCGCATAGCTGGTTGGCCTGCAATGTTTAGCTTTTGCAGCTTTCATGCGTGAGCAAGAGCCCGGCTCCACGCTGTTTTTTGTGTGTTTTCAGGATGGGCGCGCCCTAGGCGGAAACATCAATAAACATTCAAAGACAAAAACAAAAAGCAGACGGGGGAGGGGCGTGGTTATCGTTTGAGCCTGTTCTCGTTTCGACCTTCTCAAAAGGACCATCCTCAGAACGTCCTTCTTGGTTCGGCCCGCCGCATTTGGTCCGCTCTCGTTATACCCTTCGCGCTTCATCCGCAAAGAAAATAATATAAAGTGGAGGCACTTCGAGGTGACGGTGTCATGGCTTGGTCACCACATATGCCCGAAGAAGCTACTTAGAGTCCGTCTTTACCTCCTTCCAGTTTAGCACATATCACAAAAAAAAAAAAAAAGAAACTACTAAATCACATTGTCTACCGATAGCGTCTGAAAAGCTCCTTCCGCAATCCTCGCGCTTTCTGCAGGGGTTAGCAGCAGAGCTGAGAACAGCGCTCGATCCAAGCGCTTAATCTCGGTGAAGCGCGCGATAAGAAAGCGAGCCGCCACGGCAGCCGCGTCATGGCGCTGATAGCACGAACCGGTCAACGGTCCGGCGTTTACCTTCATATCGCCGGCAGGTGTACTGTCCATCCACAGCCACTAATATTGCTGCATTTGCCGTTACCATGCCGAAGAACAAATCGCGTAGCAGGTAGCGTGAACAAGGTCACATCCGGCTTTTCTTGAACTGTACGTAATCATAAAGCACCGAAGGCCCGTTCACACACTTGCGTTTGCTAGGACCGAGTTCTTGGGATCTCTTACAACGATAAAACGATGGATGGATGGATCGATAAGGCTGAACCCTTTGAACCGGAAGGCGGCTTGCGCCACCTAGCCAGTGTTTTATTCTTTCTAACATTTAACTAACATAGAGGTATGTACCTAGAGATTTATTTTGGAGCGCAGCTCTTAGGGGCCCGTTCCCGGCTTGAGCGGCGTCGGCGTCGGCGTAACCGCAACCCTCGTAACCCTCGTGAGGGTTACGAGGGTTACGAGGGTTAATCTTATGAGGGTTAACCTCACGAGGATCACAAGGGCCACGAGGGTTATTTACCCTCGTAACCCTCACGAGGGCTACGAGGGTTAGTTACCCTCAAAATGGTTTCCTTCACGAGGGTTACCCTCACGAGGGTCACAAGGGTTGTGAGAGTTACCCTCACGAGGGTCACGAGAGTTACCCTCACGAGGGTCACGAGAGTTACCCTCACGAGGGTTACTAGGGTTACCCTCACGAGGGTCACGATGGTTACCCAGGTCACGTGACCCCCGTTGACGTCATAGCCACTGATGACGTCATCAGTGACGTCACTGATGACGTCACCGGCATCCGCATCGTCATCGTCATCATCACTGATGGCGTCATCAGTGACGTCACTGATGACGTCATCGGCATTGTCACGTGGCCCCCCCCGACGTCACGTGACGCTCCACGGTCACGTGACTCCCACAAGGTCACGTGACTCCCACAAGGTCACGTCACCCCCCGCCCCCCGAGGTCACTTGACCCACCCCCAGTACCCTTCCCTCCTCCTCCTCAAGAGCTGCGCTCTAATTCGGCGTTACAGGGAGTTGTAAACGGCTTTCATTTTTAAAAGGTATATACAATCCATACCACGGAGGCGCCTCTATGCAACCGTGTGCCCACACCTTCGGCCCTACGGGTCGCCCAGAGGGAATTAGAAAATATTCACCTTTCCCTCGACCTACGCCACCAGTCAGATAATCTCTTCTTGGTTATCTCCACCTTCCCCATGTCTATTTTTCCCCTCACTAGCGCTAAATCCCAGTGCGTTTGTTAAATTAGTCGCCTCTTTAGCTACTCCAGGGTGAAGCCCCTTACAGTAAAGTATAAAGTGCCCAGCCGTCTCCTCCTCCTCTCTACAAGTTCCACACACCGTATCTACACTAGAGCGAAGGTTTCGCGGTATTTGCGAGATCAAATCTACGTTTACTGTCTGAGATATGGTCGTTTAGAAAAATGTCAAAAGCTTAAAAAAATAATGTGCAAAAAAAAGAAAAAAACACAGAAATATACTGTAACTGCAAGTGTCCCACGGCCACACGATAGATGGCAGCAGTGTGTTCTCTCGTTGTAAGAGGTTTTAAAAGGTTTGACACACACGGTCGTAGCAGTCGCAACTACGGGAACCAGCCTTGACGTTCGTTTTATTCAGTATCGCAGTCCCCCATCTTGCAGAGCCAACTTCAAGATGGATGTCAAAGGCTGCGTATAATGGCTTTTAATTTTTCACACGCGTTGTTGACTCTTTTTTCTACCCTAGGAGGATTCGAAGTAAGCAGAGACAAATGTCACATTCCGACGGGCACCTGCAATCGCTACAGCTTCTCCAAAGGTTGCTGGGACAAGGTGGCAAGTCTCAAGTACCCCCGATGCCACCATGGTGTCACCGTCGTGTTGGGACAAATCTACGCCGTTGGCGGTCAGTCGGTGGAAAGCCTGTAAGCATGTTTACCTTTGTCTCTGTCGCAGTGTAATTTTTTTAGGCCTAAGTACGCTGTCTTGCGTGTTCACGTTTTTGTTTATCAGTGATGTTACGAGCTGGACACGGTCCTCGTACTTTTTTTTTCTGACAGGCACAAAAGTAGACGGCCCCAAAGTGATGGAAAACAATTCTGCACTGATTGTGCTGCTCGGTGTGGTTTTAATCATTGTCACAGTAAAAACTCGAGACGAGAGATTGAAGTATGATTATATTTTACCATTTATCTGGCATCTTTTTCTTATTGATGAATCTCTAAGCATTTTGTTATTTAAATCACATTGTGCGCATCAGTATGACCTCTGGGGCCAGACGTCATTCGAAAGGGGTATACAGAAAAAAGGTAAAAAAGACTCTTTCAGAACAAGCTTGTAAATTTAGGATGTGTTATTGGGCGTTCATATTAAGGTATGTGCGCGAGTTGTTCAAACTTCTGTGCGTGCGAGTCGGCTGTTATAATGACATCCTACACATGTCTTGAAGGACTGGCGAGTTGTGCATAGCGAGTCTTGTTGTTGACGAGCTTCTTTATTGCCACGGTTAGTTTGTGTTTGTGTAGTCAAACTGAAATAAACGCGTTGATTTATGACTTGTTGCATTGTATCCAACAGGTGCTATAATCTGGACATATGGCGAAAAAGTCGGCGAGGAATTATGCGGCCGTGATTACCCGGCGCCTCGCTTGACCTTGGCGCCGGCCAATCACGGTGGTTGAATTCCGGGCCGACTTTCTCGCCAAGTGCCCAGTCTAGAGCCACAGGACATTAAAGGCTATTTATTATTATTATTATTATTTATTGATACTGTTAACCAGAATTGGGTTTGTTACAGGAGTGATGGTTATACAAAATTATACAAAGCACCGACATACTTTTTCATAAGGTTCATGGACTCTGTGGAGGCATATGACCCGGGTTCCGACAAATGGTCTTCCTTGACACCGCTGTGCTGCGCACGGATGGCGGCTAACGCCATTGAGTTCAAGGACCAGATGTACGTGGTCGGTGGGCTCATGGTCGTTCCCGGTCACAAGCGAAAAGTCTGCATCGTTCCGGACACCATGTGCTTCAATCCTCAGACAGACACGTGAGTGTGGCTAGCGATCTCTCTGAACAATTAATTCCTTGTGTAGTTCGATCTTTAACGTCACCACACATTTTAGGAAACCACTTTAAAAATGATCAACTCGACTAAGGTCGCAGAACATTCATTACTGCGCATGCGCGGTGACGGAGTCTCTAGAAGCAAAACAAAACACTAGTTGATGTTTCAACACACAATTGCTTCCGTTGAGGGAAACGATAGGCATCAAAATTGCACGGACATGATAGGTTATGCAAAGCTATCTTTTGGTGATGGTTTTTCTTCTTTTGAGGAGAGGGAAAGAGGGGGGGGGGGCTACAATATTCTCCTCGTTTGGGCGTTTCATTCATAGGTGGCCATGTTGAGACTACTCTGCACAAGGACGGGGCAGAAAAGAGTCTGACAACATCTAACTGTTCAATTGTTCAGATAAATGCCATACGTTTTATCACCTACTTCACCGACGTTAACATTGAGTCCTTGTTGAGGTCACGGGTTTACAATCGTCAGAAGAACGTCTAGAATCCCGGTAACTTTGCGCCTGAAAAAAAAAAAAAAAAAGATTACTGACTAATTTACTTGTTGTACTATTTTAATTTTCATTCTACATTATTTTGTGTTTTATTCGTTTTCTTTGTGTTCTCGCGAGGAAGCCGTCAGGCAGCGGTCAGTGGCACTGCCACGCGATGTCATCCTCTCCCACTTCAGTGGTAACAGCTGCAAAAAAATTCATGATGTTCATGCGAGCTCGGCAGCTAAAATTGAGCAGGATGACACTCGAGAGAAGTTTGAATTTGTTTTTAGCACACCATAAACAGTCCTGCTCAGCTATGGCGTTTACGCGGCAGGTGGCACCACCGAGCAGCCCTTCCGCTGCCCATGTGCAATTCGTCCCTCGTGGTGCACAACGACCGGTTGTTCGCCTTCGGCGGTCTCGTGCGCACCGTGACCCAAGACAAATCCCAGCCCCTGACACCGATCGGCGATGTGCTTGAGTACACTCCTGGTACCGATACCTGGGTCCTGGTGACGTCCATGCCCACGCCTTGCCACAGTTCCTGTCTGGCGTCCCTCGGTGAGTTGATCAGCTGCAGGTAGTTTTCTTAAAATTATTTATGTTCAATATGGTGAGCATCTCACACTCGTCTTTGTCGAGAAACAGGCTATAAGTTCGTTACATAGCTGTAGGCCACAATATTATTATATATATACATAGATAAAAATGAATTGCAAATGATTTATCATTTCCTTTTCTGACAACTCAGGACCATTTGAACCTTATGAAGTCCAGCTAAAATGTAAGAGCCTGTTGAAGTATTGAAAATTCTTTGCACCGTTGGTATGAGGCTTTTGTCAACTAAAGTGTAGGAGCCGTTTACTGGAATATTGAAAATTTTACGCAGCGTAAGTATGCGGCTTTTGTCGCACATTGAATGAAATAAGAGGCGCGCGTGAAAGGAGGCAAAAAGATTTGCTTTCTTTCACACGCGTATCTTCTCTCATTCATTGTACGACGAAAGCCGTACACCAACGCTACGAAGAATTTTCAGTATTTCGGCAGGCGGCACTTACACTTTAGCTGAACTTCATAAGGTTTAAATCTTCCCGAGTTGGCAGAAAAAGAAAAGGTAAAAAACTGTGTGCCCCCCTATACAATATTTTCCCTGCCATTTGAGATGGGCGTAAAGATAATACAACAAACCGGGTAGGAGGTGTAAGATGTAGATTAAGCACAAACATAAAAAGATAAAATAAAGGCATCGCCATAAAAAACAGCCATACCGTTGCCGGCAGCGCGCGACGCTTAGACATTTAATCGAGAGCTGATATGGCGTCATTCGGCTAAACGCCACTCGAGCTTTTCTAACTCATGCGTGCGGCTTGTTCTCGTTCTATGCAGCGTTGTAGGAGTGTATACCGAGTGTCTTGTAAACAAGGTAACAATTTTTATTACTGCTCAAACACGTTACACTTCTCCGAACGCACGGTTTCCGCCCAATTTTAGCGCAGTGATCGGGACCATATTGTAAAGTTTTAGAACTTATTGTGATGTAATTGAAATGTTATAAGATATGAAAATAAACTGCCGCGCACGGCTTACAGACTGCGGGGGCGCCTCCGCGTCAAATGGTCCTACCGCGTACGGTAAGGGCGGCGACTACCTTATAGCAGCGAAGATGAGGACGCTGTCGCGCACAACAGGTAACGCGGCGCACCGCGGGAGCTGAACGTAAGTGGGGTCGCTCACGAGCCCGTTCCAAAACTGACTGGCCAGGGTCTAAACCAGCGTGCTCGAACCCGTCCAGGCCAATCAAGGTTCGACCCTGGTCCCATTGGGCAGAGGAATCGAAATACAACGCCTACACACAACGCACTTTCGACCAATCGGGCGAGAGGTCATTGCTCCGGGAATGAACCATAAGCCAAGTCTTGATTCCCAGAACCCGAGGATGAAATATATAAAAACAACCGTATCTCCACGTGGTGAATGATGTTGATTGGGGCGAAGCTCTGGTGGTGCTTGTCTACGTAGACGCTGAGCCGCGGCATGCCGAGCCTTTCGTTCGTTTTTATCCATGTCACGGTCAAATGCGTATATAACCACGTTCCATACCACACATTCTCTTTCTGACATGGATGAAAACCACATGAAAAGGAACGAAAGGCTCGGCATGCTGCGGCTCACCGTCTACGCAAACAAGCACCACCAGAGCTTCACCCCAATCAACATCATTCACCACGTGGAAATCTGTTTATTTTCCCTACACGAGCACGAGAGCACGTGCTCACGTGCTCGTGAGCGCGTGAGCTCACGAGCAGGAGCACGTGCACCCGAAGGCGGACGAGCATACGGACATGGCTAGCCCCTAAGGAGCTTCGCCCCTAAAATCAATAAGGACAACGAGTATGTTCCTGATAAAAGACGTTTCTCATATTCACGTTTTCGCGATGATACGTGGGCTTTGTTGGTGGGAATTATCCCGTTGTAAATTATCTGAAATCGCTTATAGTTAGTGTCAGTTATAACTGTAAGATTCTGAAAATTTTGCATCTGGTTCTAACCGCTGGCACAACATTTGGGCTGAGACCGAGCGTTCGGTGATGCATAGTTTACTTTTGCGGCGCGAAAAACAAGGTTATTTTTTCTCCCCAAGACCGCATATATTCTTTCTTCCATCATGTTCATTACACTAATGGATAAGCGCATATAATCGTCAAATTAATCGACGAGAGCAGACCTGACTGCCGAGGAAGCCTGCTCTTGTCGCAAAGAACCCGCGCCTCTTTCCAATCGCACGTTCCCGGTGCACTCGCAGGTGACGACATCTACGTCCTGGGCGGCCAGCTGGAGGACGACGCAGCCACGGCCACCAAGGCATCGTACCGCTACAACCCGTCCACCGACCGCTGGCTGGCCCTGCCCCCGTTGCCCTCGAGGCTGAGCCAGTCGTGCGCGGTCGCCCTTCGCAGGGACGTTTTCGAGTAGGCACATTGACCAAGCCATCGCCTTGCCAAATCATATGGTAGTTTGTCTAAATAAAATTTGTGTTATGTTGAGCTTGAAGTCGGGCATCGCCCGTGATAATTAATTGTTAGTATATCAGATATAGGCGTGAAACGTGAAATGCCTGATTTCTTGATTTATGTTTGGCTAGGCGAAGAGACGACGATTTGACCAGGTTGAGATTTTTGCGTAAAAAGCCTGATTTCCTATTGCTTTTTGTTAAGGTAGACGTAAAGACGACGCCTTTACAATGTTGTCACCGGGTCAAATTTTATGGTCTAAATAAAGTTGTGCTATGTTGAGCTTGAATTTGGGGACCGCCAGTGAAAAACGGACGCTCGGAAGTCTTTTATACAGATTTATTTAAGAATTACCTGACCACCTGTTGATGTCCGTTTCCTGAACATGATTTGAGGGGTATTCACACACGGGAAAAATCCCTCCCTTTGCTCCCCGGGATGTGAGTAACAACATCACGCTTTTGCGCGGAGCCGCGCTGACGTAGACATCACAAACGCTCCCCGCCATGGCGTGGGATATTTTTGCAATTGGCGCTATTTTGTTCGCATGTATGGCAGCTTTACGGATTTTGCTCAGTTGAGATGCCGGCGGTCGCATCAGAATCACCTAACCTGTTGTGGCGTACGCTTTTGCGCATGTCGTCGAAATCGCCCGAACTAAAGTCCCTCGATAAAATTCACGCTTACAAGTACCGCCAACAATTGTTGTGGAAACGCCAATGACACTTGCCAAGAGCGGGTGCTCCGCCGCCGTTTGCCTCCAAATCCCACTAGAGACACGAGGCTCGGGCACTGGCGCATTTAACGCTACTTGAAATACAAACGCAAACACATCGAGGGGCTTTAACTCGAGGGAGTATTCAACATTCATCAATGCCGTCCTCCAGCTGCTCCTCAGACAACTGGTTATGAATTCCATGTCCTTTGTGTTTTATCCACCCATTCAAGAAGCGCCCCTTTTTTAGCAAGAAGCAGTTCGTCGTCTTCTGCACCTAACAGCGCTACCGCCATAATCGCGTGTCACCATTTCATGTACGCCTTAATTTTTCTACTCTCATCAGCGCGCTCCGAGCATTATTGTCGAGGGTGCAATCGCGTCCGATAACACTGACATCCCACTCGGTTCCCCGACGTTTCTGTGAATGTTTGAGTCGGGGAGAAAGTCCCGATGGCTCCGCCGATCACTGACGTCACCCTCATCATTCTCCGAAAGGAATCCCCCGTGTGACTTTAAAGTCGGTTGGGACCTTCGTCTGAATAAGTGTAATTAACTAACATCATGTTTACAAGTAAAAACACATTTTGACTTGCCTTGAGTTAAAGGGGTCATGAAACGATATCGGGTGGAAATGTTTATGACATTACAGAGGCGTACTGCTCCTAGTCTGACTCAAGTATACTCGCACAGACCGCCACTGATTCAAAAGCTTCATTTGTCGCGATGAAATTGCGAGGAAAAAAAGGGCACCACTTCTTTCAGTCAGGCCTTCGAGAAGTTTGATGACATAATTTTAATCCGACACCACCCACCTGATGACAGTCGAGCGCGGTTCATGGATTGGACACAACAAAGCGTCAGCACTCGACTTCGGCTCGTAGCAATCGGCGAACACTCGTGCAGGGGCTTGTGTCCAACGACTGCAGTGATGATAATAGCCGAACTTTAACAATGCCTGGAGCTGAGTGCGCGTTTTCTACTTTGCCGACCACAGCGCGTGGCTATGATTGTAACGTTGGCGTAGATAGGCACCAGGTTACGTGGCCGCTTGTTCTGGCTTCGAGTTCAGGGAATAAACGATTCTCATATTTTTTAAATTTTTTTTTGGCAACCGCCATTGCTTAGAAAGAAAAACGAAGGCAAGTTTATTCAATTCTTAACGTTAGGAAGTGATTCTAAGCAGTCCTTTGCGAAAGTATGAAAATCGTTTTATGTCTCATTTGAAAAGCCCAGTAGCAATTTTACCTCCGGCAAGCGCTCTTCGCCCTCCACTGGTCTTAGGATGCGAGTGTGACGGATTGTAATCAAGCTCGGTGATAACAGTTCACTTTTGTTTGCGCAGGTTTTAGGAGAATTGGGTGCTTGGTACGGCAGTTTATTTTTTTATGTCTTTATCCTTATTGAAAGGGCCTGAAGTTACCTAAAAGGTCAGGAAACAGCGTTACCCAGAATCGCACGCGGCAATCGTGTATAGTGCTGCCTGTATGTATCCCGATCAATTAAAAAAAAAAAGCTCCCTCAGTATCTCGAGAAAAGAGGGGTCGCCAAAAGTTGACATTCGCTAATCAATCGTCCGGTCCCGTGTCAACACCGTACTCTTTTATATTCAGCACTGCTGGTGGGGGTTAAGGCAGACCTGCAATCGAGGCAAGCTCTCCTTTCATATTTGCCTTTTCTTCTTAAAACATTTTGTCTGACTGCGCATCACTGCCGTGTTTTTGTGTTATGTTTTTTTATTTTTTCTTTTGGTGTGCAGAGGAAAAAAAGGAAGTATCGGACAAGAGGAAAGGATAATTTTGAAGCTTTTATGACGCAATTCCGCGAAAAGTTAACAAAATGCGAAACAAGTGTCAGCAATATAAAGCTTTAGATAAACAGATGTCGAGCGCGCATTTTCCACGCCCAAGTTCGCCAAGAAACTGACGTAGCGTTTAGTTTCGGTTACATCACACTTCTGAAGCGCTTTTCAGGAGTCTAGATCTACTCAGCCCTGAGAAATACGAAAAAAGTGCTTCACACTATTGTAATTGCAGAAAAGCTCTATGCTAACGCTCTAACTGTTATCCATTGAAGGCCGTTTTTTTTATTATAAGCGTACACTTAAAATAGATATGATTCTACGCTGAAGGTTACGTAAAACAATATTTAAATAATAAATTTCAGTTGGTTTTAGAGGGAGCAAGAGGGGAGGAAATTGTGATAAGTTGTTGCAAGCATCAAAGGAGAGAAGGCTCTAACAAACGCACTGAAGAGCTCTTTTTGTTCTAATTTTCAGTGAAGGTTGGAAAATACGTTTATTTCCGAGAACCGAACATCAGAGTTTAGGCCTTTCATTATGAAGCGCCGAGATTCTCCTAATTTTGCCCAGAGTTCGGAGTTAGCTAGATCAGGGGCTCGCAGTTTAACACTTAGTAATAAAGTAGGGCAGAGTTCTGACCGTAGCGCTTGACCATGACGCTGGCCAATCGCGGTGGTCAGAGATCTCGACGGCTTTCTGGCGACACAAATCTCTTTCAGATTTTTATGAAACAGCCAACAAGTCAGATTTTTTATGAAACAGCCAACAATATTTTTTTATTAAATATGCACGGCTTTCGACTTCAATGGGGTTGGGCTTGTGCAGTTTTGTTTAATTCAAATAAAAAAAAATGTTTTTGGAAAAGTTTAGCATTTTTGTTATTTTAATAAAAAAAACATTTAATTTCTCCAGGGACTTAATATAACTTTTTCCCGGCTGTCCTGTAGGTATATAATCTATAAAAGATGTTGAAACCGCTCAATTAAATATCGCGCAGTAAAAAAAGAATCCTGAAGTTGCCGAAAAGTGCGTTTTGACGCATAATAAGCCGTTTATTTCAGCCTGAGGTGGTCCAAGTAAAAATACAAAATATGGTGGGTTTGACAGAACAATCGATTGTCTCTTGGTTCTGAAAGTTAAAACGAAATAATTTTTGTTTAAAGCGAGAAAAAAAAATTTAAGTTGAACTCTCGCACCACAACCCGGCGTGCTTCTTAACGCCTCTTCGCCGCACAGCACGCCACCGGCGACGATAGCTGACACGATTAGATCCAAAGAAAGAACGAAGTTTACTGCCGCTTCCCCTTGTCAGCCTTTTCAGCTGCAAGGGAAGGGACGGCGGGCATCGTGTTACTAATTGGAGGTGCCGCCAGTGCGTAGCCATAGGCCATAGCAGGCCCGTTGTGCCCTTTGTATCCGAGGGCGGCTCCTTGCACTCCGAAACGCGATGCCTAATCGACGGGCGGCATCAGCTGATGTGGACTTCTCAATGCGTCAGGCGACGTGGACTTCTCCATAAATATATACATATAGGGTTCCGTGTTTTCGGAGTTTATTTTTCGTCAAATTCAAAGGGCGTTTTTCGGAGTTTATTTTTTGCCGAAAATTCGGAGTTTGTCGGGCCTAGGCCCGGTCCGAGCCCTACCCGGCCCGGGCCTAGAAATTAAATGTTCTGTCGGGCTGGGACCGGGCCCGGGCTGTGCCTCTACCAGGCCGGGTCGGGCCGGACCTAGAAATTCTCGCCCGTGCACTGCTCTACTACATAGCACGGAGGATTGCAAATGGCCGTGCGATACGCTGACAAGGATGCCCATTCTGTCATGGACTACTTCGTCGAAAGTGTTGCCCACTTGCGAGAAGTGCACCGAGTGCAGACCGAGCAGCCTGAATGGCTGCTTGTACTCGACAAACTGATAACTGTAGTGTTGTTTGTTACCGTCAGGTGTCGCTCTTAACACGACTAACACTATTCTAACATACTATCATAGAGGGCGCCGCCTCACTTTTACGTTTGTATATATTCCGTGAATAAAGACTGCCGTGGGTCTTTGCCCATCCGGCCCAGCTGGCTCTGTCTGGTCCCGGTCTCTACATGGTGCCAGGAGTCGTTCGCTAGGCTGCCTCCTACGGCAGCGGCCGCGGCGAAGTTCGGAGACCATGGCTACAGGCAAGTCGGCGAGGTCCGGGGCGGGACCCGTAACAGTGGGCTTGCCAAGCCTACGCCCGCCGCCGCAGTTTGACTTCGGTAACCCCGGAGCATGGCGACAGTGGCGGCAGCAATTTGAAGACTACTGCTACGCATCAGGCCTCTACGCCGCCAGTGACGAAGTTCGTGTGCGGACACTGCTGTACTGCATGGGACCCAAGGCAAGCGACATCCTGAGCTCGCTGCAAGTGGAAGAGGCGGACTTTAGCGAATTCAACCACATCGCCGAAAAGTTCGACG